TTAGCTTATCCATAAAGATCTCAATCTGTTCGGCAACTTCGGGATTAATCAGCCTTCTAGCAGACTGGTCCTGGTTTAGCCCTTCAATCGTGCGCCGGATGATCCCTTCAACTGTGGTCACCTCTGAAGCCAAATAGAGTGGATGTCAACTAAGTAGGCAGAAGCATACAATAATTTTCTAGTCTATGCAAAATATGTATATGATTTTTTTTTCCTCTGAATATGCTTTATATACCTTATAGTTTTTTAATACATGAGAAATACAAATATGTTTATTTCTCTTTCTCTTTGTTTCCCCTCCCATCTTTATCTCCATTACCTCTTCTATGCAAAATATATATGATCTCTTCTTTTCCTCTGAAAATGCTTTGTATACCTTAGAGTTTTTTAATACATGGAAAATACAAATACTTTTATTTCCCTCCTGCCTCTTCTCCATATTCTCACAATATCCTTACCTTCCTTCTCCCGTTCAATTCCATTTCCTAGTGTCCTTCCCTGATTCTGCGATTCCCCTTCACATGCTTTCCCTTCCTACCTTTTCCCCTTACATTCGCACATCTTCATCTCCCTTCACCTCTTCCCTGGTTCCCCCTCACCCACTTCCTACCTTCCTTACCAACATCCCCATCCTACTTGCCTCACCCCCCTCCCCCCTTCCTTACCAACATCCCTCTCCTACCGACATCCCTCTCCTACCGACATCCCCCTCCTCCCGACAAGCTCACCTCCCTTCTCGCCATCTCCCGGGATCTCCAGCTCCACCTCGGGGATGCTGAAGGTGGCGTGGTCCGACTTGACCACCTGACGACTCAGGTCCCGTGCCTCCTTGATGGCCAGCTCGTAGCGCACCCCCAGCTCCTGCACTCGGCCCGGTTGGAAGCCTGTGTTGTGGTGGCCGCAGTGGGAGCAGTCGAAGGAGGTTAGGATGACCTCGCGGAAGTGCGGGATTCGGGTCATCAGCAGACGGGTGGTTCCCTGATAACGTAATAATCATAAGATAATAATAGTAAAAATGCTAACAATATTAAAGATGATGATGATGATAAGTAAATAAATAAATCGCACATACACACACACACACACACACACACACACATATACGAACATACATGAATACACATGCACACGCATGTCCACACACACACACATACATATGAACACACACGTAAGCACACCACACAACACCACACCAAACCACACACACACACACACACACATATGAACAGACACTCACACACATGCACACACACACACACACACACACACACACACACACACACACACACACACACACACACACACACACACACACACACACGCACACGCACACACTAATAATAATTCAGAGAAATACCAAGATGAAATTTAAGATTAATATTGCAAAGGAAAGCTATCACCAGCACTCCATGATGATAATGCTGAGCAAGACCAGAACTAGTTGAGGAAGAGTATCAAAATACAGTAGAGAGAATTAAAGTATTGATGACCAAATCTACTCTTTTTAGGGTTAACATATTTATTGATTTGTAATAAAAAAAAAGTACCTTCCCCTTTTAGATTCCTAGCTTAGAAGAAACTGGATACTGACCAAAAGCCAATGGTAGCGACTCACAAGAACCCTAGCTTCTCACACAAAAAAAATTATTGCTTCAATGAACAAGCTGTATCATTGTTACACATGGATCAGTGTGATTTTCTATTTCTGAAGTTTGTATTACATATACCTATATACTTGGTAGCAAAAAAGGCACTTTTCAAACAACTATCACACAATGACGACACCAATCACTCACCATTTCTTGGCAACGCAGACAGAGGCTTTCAATTATGGTGACATGTGGATCGTCACTCTCGGAGGCAAGGTCCACATATATAGGCTCCACTCCCTCCCCCATCCTGAAGAGCTTTTGGTATTTGCAACTGAGATTCTGAAATGGAAAGAAGTTCTTTATCAATTTTGTTGTAAGCTTTAAGGATTAAAATACAGCTTAAATTGATAATGGCAACTGAAATTAAAACCGTTAGAAAAATGACTGGTTTTTGCAATGATTTCTGGTCTGCATCCATGGGCTATAATCTTTAAAGTGTCATTTTACTTTTAGTTATTATTAAATCAGTTTTGGGACTATACTGGGAGAAAACAACAAGCAAAGAGATGACTGCTTGTCTTCTTCATTGATATGGGTATTTCATAAGTGATGATGATGAAAAAGATGAAATAGCAAAATTAATAAATTTGTACTTTTTTTTTTCCAAAAATAAAAATATGAACAGCATTCCTCTCTCCTCATTAACCAACGATGACACAATTTTACTAGAACACCTTCACAAAAGTCCTATGTTGGTAATGAAATAACATGCATATATCAAATATCCTCTACTTCACATCCTGATAGACAAAGATTCCTATATCTAACAACTATCCCCTAAATTTTCACTCACAAATTATAGAGATAATATGATACTAATGTATTAATGTCTTCATTTTACTGAGCCT